CAGTTGGGGACTCTGTGCTATCCTGGTGGCGAGTTCAAGAGCGACGCCATCGAGGTGACGGTGGCTAGCCACCTTGCCTATGTATTCCTTGTGCCTTTTCTTGGCACAGCTAGTCTGATGATTTCACGAAACAATGACGAGGCCCTGACACAGAAGCTACGATCTACTATGCATTGACATGTTGAGGACCTTGAAATATTGACGAACCAGATATCGCAACTGTCAGACGTCCGTGTCAAGTCAGTGGTGCGTGACGTCTTGGGACTGGACCACCACCCCGCTTTCGGCTGGCGAGGGGTCGTGAAAAGGACCGGCACCACCGGAAGTTTGACCCCATGTCCCCCCTCTCTCCCAGGTCCTATATGACCAGACTTTTGGTCATCGTACTGGCTGTCGTTTTCCAGAATTTAGCATGCACACGTATCTTTGTCGCAGTGTTGCCTGTCATTACGCTTCTCGCATCTCTTTGCAACACAGGACTGATCTCAAACATAACTTTGAAAAATCGTCAATTCGTTTCAAGTCTTTTCGCCTTTCTTCCTCTCTCTCCTGCTTGCCGTTGCAGTCTATGTCTAACAACCAACTTCAGAAGTAAATGCAAAATCGCCCTGGAACAAGCGCTGGCACTGGTGGACATACATGATAGCAGGCTACCAAGAGCCACCCGGTCCTCCATGACCCGATAGGTCCAACGCAGGGACACGCCCAGTCAAGCAATCGTCCGTGACAAGACAAAATCAGATGTTCGCGAACTCCAAACCACCAATGTGGAACGCTTCGAATATACAGGCCCATTGTGATTGATGCGTACCACCATACCATCATCACGAGGCTATGGATCTACAATCAGGACCGTCCAAAATTGTTTACTGTCCAATCCGATCACTGCTTATCCGTGCGGCCCATGGGCGGCACACCAATGTGGTTACGGTTGCGGAAGAACAGGATGCCCTTGCCGGCACCCTCAGCACCCACGCTGGGCTCAACCCACTGGCACGAGCGTGCTGAGGTCCAAAGCGAGCGGATGAAGCCCCAGGGACCGTCGCGGACATCAGCACGGTAGTGCTTGCCCATGACAGGCTTGATGGCCTCGGTGGCCTCATCGGCATTGTAGAAGGGTATGGAGCTGATGTAGTGGTGAAGGACGTGCGTCTCAACAATGCCGTGGAGCAGGTGGCGACCGACAAAGCCCATCTCTCGGTCGATGGTATCGGCAGCCCCGCGGACGAAATTCCCCTGCTCGCCGGTGTAGTGGGGAAGCGAGGGATCGGTGTGCTGAAGGAAAGTAATGCAACTGCAGAACGAATTAGCTAACGACCAGGACAGGGAGCGAGAGATGATGGAAT